ACAAACATACAAATAAATAAATAAATAAATAAATAAATAAATAAATAAATAAATAAATAAATAAATAAATAAGTAAATCTTAAAAAAAAAAAAACTTAAGATTGTTAGTGATTTTTAAATGCATTCTTTTTCTTTCCGTAGGGTAAAGTGAACCACCTGCTTAATAATTCCTCCCAAGAAATTGATCAACCACCTACCAAAGCAGTAGTTATCAACCATGAATGCACCAAAACCCAAAATATTCACCATATAAGGAAAAAAAAGCACAATTCAGGACTGGTAGACAAAGACTGTGTACTCAGCGCAACTATTAAACAGCTAAGGAGCCTGGGAGTGAAAATTGATTCTCCCACTAAAGGGAAGAAAAATGCACAGAAAGTGGATCATGCCAGGTAACTTTTGTTTTAAAAGATGGATAAATGGTAGGTATGCTTCAGCACTCCTGAAGGAGTGTGCCTGTACCTCAGGCCTGCTGACTTGTCACTTAGTGAGGGCCTGATGTATATGGAAGCAAATATCATGTTTACATTCTCAGTCTGCTAGTGGGATGAAGCTACATAAAAAAGACACCTGAGGATGGTTGCTCTATTGATTTATTCTTTTATTGGTATCTTTCCTAGACAAAGTTGCCAACAAAACACTGGAAAAGAAATGAGTTTTATTGTCATGTCTGGAAATGTCTCTGGAGGTGTTGAAATGCACCAGTTCCCAGTGTTCAGTCATACACACTGCTGCTAGAAAGCGTGGGCATTCCTTCTGGCAGTGTGCAGCCAACTATTAGATCCCTTCTGTTTAGATCCCTCTGTGCCAAAGATGACCTCAGCATATATACACCTGTTAAAAAGAGGATGTGCGGCGGGTTTCCTCTTGGACCACCAACCATTATGACACGGAGACTTATTAGTTATGAATGCTCGGCCTTATCTTATGCTTGTCCCACTGGCTCTTATAACTTATTTTAACCTGTTTCTCTTCATCTACATTTTTGCCTTATACCTTTTTACCTTTCTTTCATCCTGTATGTCCTACTCCATGTCTGGCTGGCCCCGGGCATCTCCCTCTCTTTCTCCCTTGTTCTCTCTCGCTCTCTTCTACTTATTCTCTTTGCCTGCCAGCCCCACCTGTCCCTCTACTGCCTAGCTGTTTGCTGTTCAGCTTTTTATTAGATCCATCAGTGCCTTAGGCAGGTAAAATAAAACGACAGCACATACTCACATAGTTAAACAAATGCAGCATAAACAAATGTAACACATCTTTGCCTAGTTAAAGTAATATTCCACAACAAAGATAAAATCTGGAAATTATTAAGCTAGAAAGTTTTCTGATAATTGCTTTTGTTGTTAGAAACCTAACAAAATTTCCTAGTTTAAAAAACAGACAGTATGAGGCAATATAAGATAAAATACAAAAGCTCCCGTTCCCTTAGACTCTTCAATCTGTCTCTTTCATGGCTGCTTCAAGCATTTCTTTCATATTCTTCTAAAAAGGCTGTTTGAGTCGGGGCTGGAAACTGAACAGCAAATGCTCTTGACTTCGGAGCCATCTTCCAGCCCCTTTCTCCTGTTTTTGATAGCTGTATAATATTCTGTTGTACCCATGCACTATAATATATTTTGAACCCTCATCATCTCTCACTGAACTTATGTACCATTTAAGTCAATATTAAGCAAATGTCATTCTACAAGTACTTGTTCAAATTAAAGTTATAATAGGTGTTTTACTATTGCTTGCCAAGTATTTATACTCATTATTTATTTATTTGCTTGTTTCGCTCTCTTCTCTCTCTCTCTCTCTCTCTCTCTCTCTCTCTCTCTCTTTCTGTGTGTGTGTGTGTGTGTGTGTGTGTGTGTGTGTGTGTGTTGGTGTGTAAGTGATCAGGGAACAGCTTGGAGTACCATGGGGTCATTTAGTTTAGCAGCAAGTGCCTTTACCAAGGAGCCGTCTCAAAGGCCCTGACAGCTTTATTTCTGAACTGAAAGATGGAGACCCTGTGACATCTGTGACCACGTGGTGGTTTCTCCAGTTCTAGGAGATCCAGTGCTCTCTTCTGGCCTATAGGTACCAGGCACATATGTATGCACATATATACACACAGGCAAAACAGTCATACACATAAAATTAAAACAAATCTTGAAGAAAAAAAGCATGAGAAAGAACTACATATACCTGTTGGAATTCACAAGTTCTCCATGCTTTCTATGCAGAACCGTGTTTATTTGAGCAACTCATTATATAGCCCAGGTTCATTGCTCTCTTGTCTCAGCCTCTTGCTGATTACAGACATGATCAAGACTCCCATTAGGGAGTAACTATTAGATAATGCAATAATGTATTTTCTCCCTTCCTTCCCTCCCTTCCTTCCTTCCTTCCTTCCTTCCTTCCTTCCTTCCTTCCTTCCTTCCTTCCTTCCTTCCTTCCTTCCTTT